AAATAGGTCAAATGGAGGAATAGTCGAATTTTGTGTATGGGTGTGTAGCTCAGTGGTAGAGCGGCTGACTGCAGATCAGCAGGTCCTCGGTTCAAATCCAGGCGTGCCCTATGAACTTTCGCAAAATTTTCATCAAGGAATTTTTGAGAGGTAGAGTAATCACTCATGTAATCGGCGGAACAGTCACAGACATCAACATGATCGGAAGTTGAATCATCGCCCTGCTGGCCCAATGGATAAGGCGCCACCCTCCTAAGGTGGAGATTCCGAGTTCGATCATCGGGTAGGGTAGATAAGTTTAGTAAGAATCATTAGAGGACGACTCGATTGAGCTGGCTGTAAACGACACAGTGAGGAGTGAAATTTTGAATGAAAATAGGTCAAATAGAGGACTAGTCAAATTGTGTGCATGGGTGTGTAGCTCAGTGGTAGAGCGGCTGACTGCAACTCAGCAGGTCCTCGGTTCAAATCCGGGCGTGCCCTTTGAACCTTCGCAAAATTTCCATCAAGGAATTTTCGAGGGGTAGAGTAATCACTCATGTAATCGGCGAAACAGTCACAGACATCAACATGATCGGAAGTTGAATCATCGCCCTGCTGGCCCAATGGATAAGGCGCCACCCTCCTAAGGTGGAGATTCCGAGTTCGATCCTCGGGTAGGGTAGATAAGTTTAGTAAGAATCATTAGAGGACGACTCGATTGAGCTGGCTGTAAACGACACAGTGAAGAGTGAAATTTTGAATGAAAATAGGTCAAATAGAGGACTAGTCAAATTGTGTGCATGGGTGTGTAGCTCAGTGGTAGAGCGGCTGACTGCAGATCAGCAGGTCCTCGGGTTCAAATCCGGGCGTGCCCTTTGAACCTTCGCAAAATTTCCATCAAGGAATTTTCGAGAGGTAGAGTAATCACTCATGTAATCGGCGAAACAGTCACAGACATCAACATGATCGGAAGTTGAATCATCGCCCTGCTGGCCCAATGGATAAGGCGCCACCCTCCTAAGGTGGAGATTCCGAGTTCGATCCTCGGGTAGGGTAG